CGGATAACTGATACAAACTAAATATAATATCACAATCAATAAATGGAAAAACAGAAAATAAATTACATCTAATTAATTTTCAAAAATAGTATATTCAAACCACAAATGTTCAATTAACGCATTTCGAAATTCAATATTAGCTTCCGAGTCTTTTAATAAATCTACCTATTAATCTAGATATTTTATGCAAATTCAAATTACAATTACAAATATTAGATAATTTAAAATAGAAACAATAAATAAAATATTATAAGTATATTTATTTTTTAGTTGATAAACTATAACTTAGTTATTTTATTAAATTAAAAATATAATTAAATTATATTATTTTTTAGTGTTTTGTGAACAGTGTCACACCATACACTAAATTTTTTTTTTACCGTCAAATATGCCGTCCGATTGGAGTCATTATTAAACCAAATTTGGTGATATGCAGTCGGGTTGGACTTAAGTAAACCGATATTATTGTGTTTTCTTGAGGGACCAGAAGCTGGACGTGGCAAGAACCCCAAGAAAGAACTGTTTAGAAGAAGATGAAACGACATCGTTGGGTTTTTCGGTTCTGGACCCGTATCGTAACCGTACATACAATACATACATTTTTGTATTATACCTGGACGGCTGGACGCGTATGTTTTCGGACCGTAGCAAATACCTGTGGAATGTGGATATAACACGTACAGTTTTAAAGCCCAGCTTTTACCTTATCTTTATCTGACGCGTGGCATTAAACCAAGTATGGGACCCAAAACTCTCTTCTCCTTTATGTTCTCTCCCATCTTATCCAAATGATCCAACGGCTCTGAATTCTTCAATAAATATTTTCAATACAGTATCGGTATTTCCTCAAAATAACTAATTGGTCCATCAGTTTTTTCAAGTGACATTAAATAATTAATTATGTAAGTCGGTGAACAAATATTACAACAATTGGTAAACAAATAAATCTCACCATTTAGTGTTTATTTTTAATAAAAGTAATTGTATCACTATCTGGACTCCATAATACAATCGGTTAACAAACGAATTGTACAAAAATGAAAAAAAAAATGTTTATTTTGTAATACGAATAGTAAGCGTATTATATTCAACTGAAACAATAGTATAAGGGCTAAATATAAATATCAGTATAATATGTATTAAACTAAAAAATATATATAATCAAAATAAAAAAAGCATAATAATTCAGATAGGGCGATCAAATCAAATTCGATCCCAATAGAAGAAATTTGTT